AAAAAGTCTATGACTCATTATCATCATCCTGCTGCTGCTGCTGTTCATCAGAGTTAATACTAAATAATACAGACGAATATTACAGGACGTAGACGTACAACGTTATACAAAAGAACAATATAATCATCGTGATGATGAGAATGATGAGGACCCTGGATGATGATGATGATAATAATACTGTTGATGATTGTTTTGTTGACGATTATAAGATCGATGATAATCTCTCAGCACAGCAGTACTACTATCAGGTGTTGTCCTGCGTGCTTGATGAGAATCTTTACGATATGGGTTAGCGGGATATTGAGGTATAGACCATAACGTAGTAGTAGTAGTAGTAGTAGGAGGAGGAGGAGATGCTGTGGCTACAGCAGTTCCTATTGTAGTAGTTTCATCTACTACTGATGGTTGAGGGAATGCTACCTCCTTACCATTATGAAATAATAATGGGCGATATTCGGGTATTGTAACCTCATTGACAGGGGAATTACGATAATGATTGATATTGGCCTGTAGGCCCTGTATTCTGGCAAAACCAGTTTCACAAACCTTTAAAGAATTAAAGGCAGTGAGCTTATAATGATGGAAAACATCCATAAACTGTAAAGCATACTCATGTGTACACAAATTGATAAATGCATATCCAACATTACATCTATTACGGAAATCAATAGGTAAATAGAAAAAGTCTACCTTATCCGCAAAGCCTTCATCTTCTAATACCACTTTTAATAACATCCTTTGAGTATACTTATTAGGTATATTACGTAACATAACTGTTGTCTTCATAGAATCAGGTAAATGATACGTTTGGGCATGATCTCTACTCCTCATATCATCATAACCTCTTGATAATCTTGAGGGGCCGCCTACTGTCATCCTTATACTACTATCATCATCTTCATTAGTAGTATTAATATTATTATTAGTTTTACTTGATGTTTCATGCTTCATAGTACTAGTAGTAGTAGAAGACAATGTCAACTTTACTTTAGATTCCTGCGGGTCATCATCATCCTCATTATCTCCTCTATGATGATCTAGATGGTGCATATCATCATGATGGTGC